GTGGAAAACTCGATCTCTATTTCTGGAGGTTAAAAAATTCCCACCCACTGCTCAGCCCCAAAAGTGGTTGAACTGTCAGTGACTGAAAATAGACCTGTTTCAACAGGCCACCCTCCCTCATGCCACCTGATTTGTGGTGCTTGGGTGGGTGGGAGGATGGTGCAGAAATTCATGAAGCTTGCAAGTTAAATAGCAGGAAAGGCCAAAGCTGAGGGGGCTAGCGCTGGGTTATCTGGAGAAGCTGTACCTTAGCATTACCTTTGCTTTTAACTACAGCCTGAGGCAATGGCAAATCTGCCCTAACTCACATTGGTTGATGCTGTGAAGACAGGGAAGTTCTGGGAGAGTTCGGTTCTTTCCTGATCAGAATCTTTAAGTCTTCTTTTTGTCCGAGTAGCTTCCCCGCTCCCCTTGGCCTCCTCAGGCCTTGGAGAGCTTTGAAACAACCCTTTGGTTTCATTAAAAAAAAAAAAAAAAAAAAAAAAGAAAATTAGCCAGGTGCGGTGGTGGGCACCTGTAGTCCCAGCTACTTGGGAGGCTGAGGCAGGAGACTGGCTTGAACCCAGGAGGCAGAGGTTGCAGTGAGCCAAGATCGTGCCACTGCACTCCAGCCTGGGCAACAGAGCAAGACTCCATCTCAAAAAAAAAATTTTTTTTTAATTTTTATGGGGACATGGTAGGTGGATATAGTTATAGGGTACATGAGGTGTTTTGATACGGCATGAAATGCATTCTTACATCATGGAAAATGGGGTATCCCCTTTGGCTTCTATTACATGCCCATCTCATTATGAGTGTACGACTCCAGAACAGCAAGCAACCCCAAAGTCATTCACTGGATTTTGAAATCTACTGTGCTCTTTTTTTTTTTTTTACTTCCTAAAGTACAGCCTGTATTCCCAGTTATGCTTGTCGTAGCAGAATCAAATTAACTATACCACGTGACCCTGCAATTCCACTCCTAGGTATATACCCAAAAAGAACCGAGTACAGATATCCATACAAATGCGTGTACATGAATGTTCACTGCAGCACTATTCACAACAGCCAAAAAGTAGAAACAGACCATATGCCCTCAACAGATGAATGGACAAAGAAAATGTGGTCTATCCATACAATGGAATATTATTCAGCCATTAAAAGGAATGAAGCACTGATCCATGCTCCAGTGTGGATGAACCTCAAAAACGTGACGCTAAGTGAAAGCAGCCAGACACAAAAGGCCACATAGTGTACAATTCTATTTACATGACATGTCCAGAACAGGCAGATCTATAGAGACAGAAAACAGATTAGAGGTGGCCAAGTGCTTGAGGGAGGGAGAATGGGGAGTGACGACTGCTAATGGGACGAGGTTTCCTTATGAGGTGATGAGAATGTTCTGGAACTAGTGATGATTGCATAACATTGTGAATACACCAAATGCCACTCAATTACATACTTTTAAAATGGGTAGTTTTATGTGATGTAAATTTCGATCTCAATTTTTTTTTTTTTTTTTGAGACAGAATCTTGCTCTGTTGCCCAGGCTGGAGTGCAGTGGTGTGATATTGGCTCACTGCAACCTCTGCTGCCAAGTTTCAAGTGATTCTTATGCCTCAGCCTCCCAGGTAGCTGGGACTACAGGTACCTGCCACCATGCCTGGCTGATTTTTATATTTTTAGTAGAGACGGGGTTGTGCCATGTTTGCCAGGTCTTGAACCCTTGACCTCAGGTGATCTGCCCGCCTTGGCTCCCAAAGTGCTGAGATTACACTGGCGTGAGCCACCATACCCAGCTCCTGCTTTGTTTTCTTTGATTAGTGGATCCTGGGCCAATTTGAGCGCCAGAAGTCAAGCCCGACTGGAGCTAGGGATGTCAGAAATCCCTGGTTCTTCGCCTTCTGATGGAAATTTCGCAAAGCAGGACCTTGGCCAGCTTGGTTCAGTGGACTGTTCTTCTCCCCAGCTCTAATATTAGTTTCTGTCTTTCTCGGTGTTCCTGGAGGTGGTTGGGACGTGGGGAGGACAGAGAGATGGATGTTCATTTTCCCATGTAACAGTTCACTCCCTTTTCTTCCTTACAGTGTTCGAACTGGTCAACCAAGGGTGAGTGTCCCAGCTCCCGGCACGGGTGATGCGAGAAGCTTCACCAGCTGCGTAGCTGAGTGAGGTGCCACCGGGCTCTGCTGGTGAGAGAGGGCAAGGGCCGGGCGGATCTGGTTTGTGTTTCACGTGTGTGTCGACCTTTCAGGCCCGTGATGGAAGTGCCCACCCTCAAACCACTTTCTGAAGACCAGGCCCGTTTCTACTTCCAGGATCTGATCAAAGGCATCGAGTACTGTAAGCGGGGCCCGTGGGAGGACTCTCACCCGGCGGGTCGTTAGCGTTACGAGCTGTGGGTGCAAAGTGGAAACTGTCTTATTTTCTTCCTGGAGCACGAGGAGGTGGGTGGGTGGACTGGGGTTCTCTAGAGAGACAGAACTAATAGGATATGGATACACACACACACCCACGCACACGCACGCACACACACACACACACAGAAGAGTTTATTTTTTTACTTATTTATTTATTTATTTATTTTTTGAGATGGAGTTTTGCTCCTGTTACCCAGGCTGGAATGCGATGGCATCATCTTGCTCACTGCAACCTCCGCCTCCTGGGTTCAAGTGATTTTCCTGCCTCAGCCTCCTGAGTAGCTGGGATTATGGGTGTGTGCCACCATGCCCGGCTATGTTTTTTTTTTT